TGACATTTCTCCCTCTGAGGCCTGTTCTTACAGCTGTAACATTGCCCTAACCTGTATAAAAAGACAATTGGAAGACTGTGACATGAGTGTTATTGTATTAGCATGAAAAGCCTTAGAAGCCTGACAGAGAGCCCTTGTTTCTGAGTGTGACGCCTTCATCCCGTAGCCTCGCAGCATTAATTAGCAGCACCCCGGACCTGCGTCACTATTAATCGTGTTAGTGAACGCTGAACGTCTGACTGACTGATCCTGTTATATGCTGCTGCTCCTTTGTTCTGCTGATGGATTGGAAGAACTTTGCACACTCTCTCCCAGCCTCCCAGCCCCACGGCTCAGCCCGGCTGGCACACAGCTGCATTGTTTGTACAGGCACAGAGATGAGAGAGAGAGAGAGCAATAAAGGGGGGAACAGTCAATTCTCTCTTCAAGTCCATTTGTCTCTGCTGTTTAGGGGGTGGGTGGTCTGGGAAGTTAAAGTAGTAGTCAGTAATGGTTCCCTAATGAGCGGAGCTGAGAGCTCTAATGGGCCCTCCAGAACAATGTGCCCTGCCTGGCACTAATGCCCCGTTGGTTTGATAACCATCATCCTCTCCCCATAATCACATTTTCGCCTTCACTCTGTATCAGTTGCAGCCTCCTTTTCCACCCAGGCCAGTGTTTTATAATTCCAGCAATACACAAAAGTATTTACTGTGCAGTTCATCGGGGTGTTGTAAGTTTTTAATGTTTTAAAGTTTTTAATGTTTGGTTTAGCTCAGAAACTCAAAGAAGGCTGCACCGCTGAACTTTTTTAGGACAGGTATAGCATGGTAACGTAAAGATACCTGTGGGATTCAACTGTATTCATTGTTTTTTAATCACTTTTCAATAATGGAAAGCACGAGAATGAAATAAAATTGTGATTGCCCATCAAATATTGCCAGAGACAGAATTTTGCTCTTATTTCATTAGTGGCTAAATAATAAATTAATTTCATTACAATGTAATAAACTTAAAATTTCTGAAGGTGTTTCAGCAAATAGTGTTTTTTGTTTCTAAAAGATTTTAAAAGTTTGTAGTTTATTATAAATCAGCTAGTTGAATGATTATTCAAGATATAAAAAATAGACCAATTACTTAATATACAGAGAATGAACAGATCCTCAAAATGTTTAATAAAGGAGTAATATCTTCAGTAGAAAGTTGAGATTCTTCACCTCAACTTTGGATCCAGGAAATGTTCTCACATTTTATAAACTAAATTATCAGTTGATTAACTTAAGAAATACTTAACAGATTATGTTAACAAATGCAACTGTAATTTGTTGGCCTTGCTGAAACTTCCTGCTGCCTGTCATGAAAACAGGAGGATTTACCTGTAGAGCTCTAAATACCTGTACACTGTTGACAGTAATGACTGGTTTGCATGAATGTCTTTTTGTCGATCTGTCTCAGGCCAGGGACAATCCATATCCTCTGTGTTCCACAAATATATCATCTGGTCCTAAACGTTTAACTTGAACGAGACAATACTGTAGATAAGAGTTTGGCATACAGCTTTTCTTTCTCCGTCTGTCTGAGCCTGCTGTTCATTTTCCTCTCTTCTCTTCCAGACTTGATCTGAGTGTGTCTCAGGTTTGTCCGCAGCAGGTATAGACACGCCTAGAGTCATTTTCTTCATAAAGGACAAAACTCTGTGAGCTGTTGTGTTGATAAGGCCCAGAAATTCAAAATGGCTGCTGACGGGCGCTTGCTGGTGAAACCATAATGAATGAGTTTGCAGCTCGGGGTTTTGTTTTTTTCTCTAGCAGCATAGTCTACTCAGCATTATTCTGTGTTTGCATGTCAGGAAATAGACATAAAACTGAAAGCATGTTTGTGTGACATTACATGCTTCGCTCCTGACATGGATTAGCAGATATTTTTTCCGCTGCTTTCTTGGAACCATTCTGTAACTGTTGGTTTTTCTGCTCCACTCAAATTGTGTTGTGATAGATTAGAAGGTTTAAAGTAAGAAAGAATGGTTATTTTACTGCCTTTCCCACAGGATGGGAGGGTTCAGCCACAGCTTTCACTCCTCTGATCTAACAGCTCACAAACAGGAAGCTGAGAGTTTGACAGTATGCTCGATGGAAAGTGACGCCCCGCAGTTTGTGTGTGGGCTACATTTTCTAGACTGCTCTGCTACAGAAAAATTTAACACAAGACGAGATGAAAGGGGAAAAAAAGATTTGCGGTTCCTTCACCTTTCCCATCGTGTGTGTGTGTGTGTGTGTGTGTGTGTGTGTGTGTGTGTGTGTGTGTGTGTTCTTACTGGTTAGGGAGGATGTTGACAGTAGCACAGCCCCGATAACAATCAAGGCCAATACCATCAGAGGACAAAAGCATTCATTGTTGATAGAAATAACTCTTCCGCTTCTGAGGAAAAACAATAAGACAGGTCCACATTGGCCCATCAAAACATTAAATGATGATAAACGCCAATGAAATAGAATGGAGATTATTTAAAAAAGCTTTTGTGCGTATAATGACGGCTTGTACGTGTGTGTGGGTGTGTGTTGGTGTGTGTGTGTGTGTGTGTGTGTGTGTGCGTGTGTGCGCAGCTGCAGGATGTTTGGGCTGTGGAAGCATCTGTATGTTTGCTTTACACTAAAGCAGTATGTGTGGTGGTTGGTCCAGCTATACATTCTCCAGCTCCAGTTCCCACCCTGTCACATCCTCTGGTCCCAGCATTCCTTCCCAGCAGCGTTAACACTGTGGTCAGCCTGACTGTGAACTCTGTTGGGGGGGGGGGGGGGGGGGGGGGTCATGTTCTCCTGGGGTCTGACTGGGTCATTTTCAGTTTGAGGAGCCTTCTCTGTCCTCGGTGACTCAATATTGTGACTCAAGTTTAAAATGGCATTTTAAAACAATCTCAATCCAGACGAGTGTTAAATGGTTTCAGAATAAATCTCAGTCAATAAAAGCACACATGTAAATATCACCAGACCATTCACGTACACTTGGCATGTGTGTGCAGGTGTAAACAGGAAGCTGTCTGTTTATGTGTAGTATGTTGCTTGGTTGAAGAAAATACAGAGGAGAAGCAATGGTGAAAAATAAGGGTAGAGATTTATCTTCAGCTACTTATTTTTTTCAACAACATTGTTTCGTGCTGTAGAACAAAAAAGAAAGACAGAAAGAAAAGCTCCTGTCTTTCTCTCAGATTTTTCTATTTTTTCTTTTTGGGAAATATTTTTTTTCAAATGAAAACAAAGCAAAAACTCAAGAGACATGTGGTTTGCAAGTTGGAAAGTTATCATGGAAATTCACCACTGTGTTCCAGCAGATGAGCCTGTTTCAAATGAGACGTTGCTTCATTTGAAAGGAAAAGTTTTTGATCCACAGAATACTGGCTCCATACTTAATGTGAAATTTCCATGTGATTTTCCCAGAACAACAGAAACAATGCACCTGATCTTGATCTGCGAGGGTTTATCTGTATTTAAAAGAGTAACAACTGCACCGACAGCAGTTGTGTGACCAAATAAACAGGTTTTTCCAGTCGCAACTTTTTCTGTTAGATTATTGCCTGCTGTAACTTCCGTAGTGAAAAGGGCATGGCGAATTTATTTTTATGGCAGATTTTTGACACAACTGAAATTCAAATTGCTTTACATAAACATACGAGACACATAAAACACATAAAATCTATAAAAGAGGTGAACAGGGACAGATTTAAATCACTTTCTTTAACTTCCTTTTATCATAAAGAAGCTTAAATTACTTTTTCCTGAAATTTTCAAATGTTGGTATAACAAAGATATTTTTTTCTGAGGTTTGTGTCTGTACTGTTGCTGTTTAATGTTGAAACACTCTGTAGATATTTTACTTGGAAATACAGCTTTCTAATGCAGGATATAAATCATGACTTGTCAACAAACACATGGATCCCATACTGACATGAGTCAGAGGAAGCTCCGTCACTGTGGGACTGCAGAGTTCAGTCAGCACAGCAGAGGGCTCCAGGTTGACTCATCCTGCATCACGCAGACATGAGTGCTCCCGTCTGCTCTGTGCTGCCGAGGCAAGTGTGCAGTCTTTTGGGCATGCATCATTAGCGTGAGGATGATGCTCAGACACCATCCTGGACATGACAAAAATACATGATTGTCTTCAGCAAAGGCTCCATTGTTAATGTGGAGTTTTGAGGTAGAAATGATAGTATGACTGCTCGTATGACTGGTCAGGGCAGAGCAGGCCTGGCTTCAAGTGCTGACTCCTAACATAGCTCATGACTCCCTGACCAGATGTGTCCAAAGAATTCACACTCATCTTAATTAAACGCTGATGTCTTTCGTCTTATGTTTGATGTTGGAGGCGAATTCAGATTTTTTTATCGTCCTCAAGTCTTAAATGTGCAAAATCCTGCCCTCTAAAACCCTATGTGTATGTTTTTGTGTGGGTATCGGGTCGGTCAATTTTTGTTTATTATTAGAGACATCCTGATCGATTGGCTGGAGATTATTGGACGGTTTTCTGCTCGATCAGACATGACCGGTGGCCACCTGCTCAGCCATCTGATTGAGACACTAAGAACATCACAGGCTGAATTTCAAGAGGCTACAAGGCAAAGGAGCTAAAAAAAAAAAAAGAGAGCGCACAGAGGCAGCTACAAAGCTGAAATCTCTGCTTTCTTTTATCACGAATGCAATTCAAACTATTTTTATAAAAATATATTAAATAAAGTGCAAATCACTTTCAGTTGGATCTTAGACAAATAGAGTATTCTGGACCATTTTTATTGATTTGTATAGACTTGTATATGTGTGTGCATGCGTTTGTGAGTCAGGAGGCAGAAAAAGGGAATGACCACTGGGTGGAGCCTCCATGTTAAATGGTAGTGACAGCAAAACAGAGAGAGAGAGAGAGAGAGAGAGAGAGAGGGAGAGAGAGTAAGAGAGGGAGAGGAGGGAGTGAGCTAGTGAGTAAGGCTCCCTCTCCAGTTGAACTGAGTCAGTGTGTGTGTGTGTGTTTGTGTGTGTGTGCTGTGAGCTGGCTGGGAGCTGATATTTGTGCTGTATGTATGAAAACGCCGGCAGTATCTCCGTGCCTGATCGGGGGCGCAGGCTCCTTCTCTCTGCCACTCGACATGTTGACGTGCGGCCGGCCTCCATCAAACAGGAGCTGACAGAAGCAGGGACTGCTGGGTGTTTTGTATTTCTTTATTCCTTCGATCTATCGATTTACATGAAGCTGGAGTAGAAGAAGAAAAGGAGCTCTCTGCAAAGACAGAAAAAAGTGACACTTCGGGGGATTTCTCAGTCAGGTTAGCAGTTTTTTCTGACGATGCTGGTGTTTACTTGGTGAACTGATCCTGTGTTTGTGGAGCTTGTAGTCTTTGGCCCTTGCTGTCATGTGGGTCAGTTTTCATTGACTGTACCGTCTCCCTCCACACATGACAGTATTGAAGATTAGGTCAGAGGATATAGTGAATGCATCTGGGAGTTAAAGAAGAGCTAATATGGGAATCAGTTTAAATCCAGGAGGAGGTTTGACTTTTTGTTTCTCCAGCCTCGTCCTGGGTTGTAGCTTGTTGCCTTTAGGCCAATGACTGTCGCACCACTGACGGACACTTAAGATGACAGGGCAGTGTGGTGCTGTCGGGGGGGGGGGGGGGGGTTTTTTTT